TTTTTTTTTTAAATGATTCACAGAATAATTAGATGGGAAAATATTTACACTGTCAGTGTAAAAAAGAGGTAAATTAGGCTATAAACTACAGTATGATTTGAAATTGTATCGTTTAACTTCTCCAGTACTATTTTATGTAGATACAATTTATAAATTTCCTTATCATTACTCAGAAACATTCTACTTTGCATGCCTGGCTATGGAATGAAGGGCCAAAGTACAAGTACATTCTTAAGGCTCTTGCATAGGACACTGACAACTGCTTTCCAGAGAGACTGTCTGTACTTTACACTTCTACCAGCAACTGATATTGTGCCAATCTTTTTTTTTTCTTTTGTTTTTTTGTAGACAAGTTCTCACTATATAGTTCAGGCTGGCCTTGAGCTCACTTTGTAACCCAAGTTGGCCTCGAACTCACAACGATTTTCCTGCCTCAGCCTCCTGAGTGCTGGGATTACAGGGGTGTGCCAACATGCCAGGCTTGTGTCAATCTTATATTCCTGATGAGCACCAGAAATTAGTAAAAAATTCTTTGACAATTGTTTTTCTAGTTTGTGTCTTCTTGTTATTTTCTAATTTCAAGTTTTTATCTAAGTCCTTTACTACTACTCTGATGCCACATCTTCCTATTTTCTTCTTTATTTTTCTTCTGGTCATACTGGCTTCTTTCCTGTATCCTGAAAACTGCAAGTACATTTACATCTTGGGGCCTCTGAATCAGCTCTTCCCTCTTCCAAGAACACTCTTCTTCTGATATCCACAAGGCTTGCTCCTTTCTTGCCAGTTTCTGATTAATGTTCTCTTAGCAAAGAGGGCTTCCTGACCTATATATATCCTACATAAAACTACCACCCCTAACGTGGACACTTTCCCCGCAGCCAACTTTTCTCCATAGCATATACCACCACTTATCATTTTAAATATTTATTTTATTGTCTGTCTCTTCCCATTAGATTATAAGTTCCAAGAGGGCTGGGATTTGTCTTGGCTGGTACTATATGTTTAGTTACCCAAAACAGTATTGCTCAAATGTCTGTTGAATGAATCAAGATGGAAAGATTCTATAAGGGTCAGAATCAACCATACAGATGGGAAGTAAGAGACAACCCCTATTCCCTAGTGGACTGCTGTGATACTTGGCAGTATTAACAGTAATTATCTAGGCACTTTTCTGAGTACTTCCCATGTATGAACTCAAACTCCCGTTTACCCTATGTATTAGAAATTAGCCTTTATAAAGAAAATTTGAGACAGTAAGAGGCTAGGTAACTTGTGTAAGGTCTCCCACAGCTCATAAAGGCTTTTCGTTATGAGCAAATTATGGGAACACAAGTCTCTCCTTGGAAAAGTAGTAATATGGGATTGTTTATTAGACGGTCCACCAAGAAGAGGACCCTGAGGGACCAGGGCACAATGGCAACTAAATTTAATGGAAACAGGGGAAAGGTAAAGTAAATAAGGAAAAATTTTATAAAGTCAGTATCACCAACTTTACAGTTTTACCCTAATGGTGGTTAAACTGTTATTGTGACTTGTAGGACAAAAGGTAAGAGAAAATAAACTAATTCTAAGGGATAAGGGCAGTTTTAGTACAGAGACAGACCTTTAAAGGACTTATAAACAAAATTCCATTTCAGATGAGAAGCAGAGTTAAATGTTCTACAACTTGGTTGTTTAAAAATACAAAATTTAACATATAACCAGAGCACTATATTACTCAAAAGTTAATTATATTACTTAAAAGTTAACTATGAATTAGTAAACATGACAAATCAAATAAAAAATTATTTCATTGCAGATTAAAGTGTCTAAAAATTCATTACTGGTATATGCACGATCAACCTATAAATTCTAACTAGAATGTTTAGGACCAAAATAAAAAGATTAAATATTTCTTCTCATAAACATACATATTTTACTATAACATCGATGCTTTAGTACATAATCTATATGACAATGTTTAGATACACAGAAATAGAATACTAGACACTTCAGTCTTTTCCTGGAAGAAAGACTGAGTTTTTTCACATGAAAGTAGAAGAGGATACATGCTGGAGTGTGCTTTTGGTGATAAAGACTATGATCAAGAACCCCCCAAAGTAAACAGATCCTGATGTGATATAATATCTGCCAACATTTGGAAAGTTAAAATTTAAATTGTTTATATTTTAAAATAAATCAGCACAGTGATTCACTGTTAGACTTTTCACTAAAATGTTCTTTTTAAAATTTCTCACTTTATATGCTTCCATGAAACATTTATGTTTGCAAATTATGTTGAACATCCTTTTCCCAGCTTTTCTAGTTATCCTGTCAAATGTTGGTAAAAATTTATTTTACAGAAGGCAGATAAGCCTTTGTCATCAAATAATGTTTCTGATTAACACTAAACATACATATCTTGATAGTGATAATTAATAAAATATCTGATCAATTACCTATACTAAGACACTAAGGTTTTTTTTTTTTGGTACTGGGAATTGAACTCAGGACCTTGCACTTGCCAGGCAGGCACTTGTGCCGCTGAGCTATATCCCTGGCTGCTTACTAAGTTTTGTTTAAAGTATATCTGCCTCTTTTTGGAGATATTTACAATAGTTAAGTGGAATACTTCTGGAAAATAACAATTGTCCATTTGTCACTATATATACAAATTAAATATCAATAATGTCAATTTTTTCAATTTTTTATTTTTTATTGCAGTGCTGATCTCATAAATGCTAGGCAAGCACTCTGTAAGGCCACCATCAAGTAGCTTTTGTAAGATAAAAGCTTGATCTCTATAAATTATCAGTCTTACCTTTTGGATCATTATGAGTCAATAGCTGTATGTCAAACTGTTTAGCAAATGCAGTCAAATCAGGTGGCATCACACAGCAGGAGGCAAGATTAACTTGGTTACTATTTGGTTTTACCTAGAAGTAAAAATAAAATCATAACATCTTTACTAAATTAGGTAATACACAAAGTAGAAAGCCATAAAAAGGGATTAGTTTTATTATTTATTTACTTATTTTTGGTATAGGGAATCAAACTCAGGACCTTGCACTTGCTAGGCAGGTGCTGTGCCACTGAACTATATCTCTGGCCCCAAAAGGGCTTAATTTTAAGACATGAAAAAAACCACATTCTATAGTGCTTAAGGTTGAAAAAAAAACTCTATGAGTATTTTTATTAATATATGCTTTCTAAGCTCATGTTAGCAGTTAATAGGGAAAGGAAAAATAGCTTTAGGAGGAAGAAAAGGTCACTATAGTACTACAGTAGTATACAGTCCCCTGCTAGAGCCATTTCATAATCTAATACATCTGCCTGGAAAATGAACATGATTCTAAATGCAATGGTTTCAGTAACAGAGGAAATATGTCTTAAAAATAGACAGTCAAATACAAGTAAATACATTTAATGTCTAAAATATAAAATATGCCTATTAATCAAAACACTTCACAAAGGGAAATGTGATAACTTTTAATAGCTGCAGCAGTTAATCTTTATCATCTGGAACCCTCTCCTGGACTTTCTAGGCCATATCTAATTACTAAGTCAAAAGGAAAAGGGGCAGGTTTTTCACTAAAAAAACTCTAAAAGCTCTGAAAAGAAGGCTGAGGATGATGTAAAAGGAATAAAAAAATATGGACAGTAAAGGTGAAATACTAGAAACTTCCCTCAAAATTTTGTATGTTATTAGATTACAGTGTAGGAGTGATTAACTTATCACACCCACTCCATCTCAGGTTGTATAAAACTGAGTCTTACAAATGTTTAAATAACAGCTAACAAAATATTTGTTATATGTAATATTTCCTTACTTAGGAAATTAAGGTCATAGCCTCATACTACCTAAAGAAAAGTGTAGTATTTTCATTACATACATAAGACTGATGGAAACAGCCTTAATCCATCTACATGAAAGCTTCAACAAACATTTTCTAGTGCTTTTGTCACTCATTTTAAATTAGATTAATAATATTCAGTTCAATTAGACATGTACTTTGAAAAGCTTTGGATAAAGCCTGCATCAAAACTCTCATACACACTTGGAAGTTACCCCACAGTGAGTGTGCACTGTGTGCGTGATGCTCAGCAGTCCACAACGAAGGCTAAGAAAGCTAAGTTCCTCCCACAGTGCGAGGGATCTGGCCATTCTTTACCTGTGCCCACTGATACAGCTGTTCCAACTGTGTTTTGTCTAGGTCAGAGGTACCTATAGCAACAATTTTCTTGCTTTGGACTAAGTTTTCTAATTCCTCCCAGTAAGGCTGTAAATGCTCCAAAGAAAGATTAACTCCATCTTCAATGGGAGGTGAAGCAATGATCACAGAATCCAGCTGTGCAACTCCAAGGACTGAACAGGCTGATGGGAAGAACACAGAAAGGATAAATACTGTCTAATAAAAATAAAAATTTCTAATGTCTTCAAAGTATCCCACTAAGTCTGATCCATATCACTCACTAGTTTCCTATATAACATTTTGTAACTTACCTTTCTTTTTCTTTTTTTGGTACCAGGAATTGAACTCCGGATCCTGTGCTCACAAGGCAGGCGCTGTGCTGCTAAGCTATATCCCTGGCCCTTCCCCTTCATCTAGAACATTACTGTCTTTTAAAAGAACTGTAAGTACCCATTTACCTACTCTGTATGGCAGACAAAGGGTTCTCTGACCACATCTAGCTACCAAGTGAAGCTCACAGCCACTGTAGGTCCCCTTTCTGAGGAAAAAGCTTCCTTCTTATTTTCTAGACCCCAGGACTTTTTGGCAGCTTCCTTATCTTCATATTGTTTCTTCTCCAATTCTACTTGCTCACTAGTACATCGTATGGATCATCCTAAAAATTCTGACATAATAGTCTGTAACTGGTGGTCACAGCAAGTAAGCCTGAGGTTCTGAAAACTAAATTTAATGGTCTTAATCTGTACTTATAGGGGTAGATAATTTCATAATTTCTATGGAGTTTATTTATTTTAAATTACTGCTCATTCTACAGTGATATTAAAGGCAATTATATAACATAAATATTAGAAGAATGTTTTAAAAGAAAAAGGATTTAGTAAGTGTAATACCACAATAACCTAACCCAGTGCTGAAAATAAATACAAAATACTTGTTTTTGTTCTTGTTGTCTTTGATTTTATTTCATCTGTAGTAATAAAACAGCTAAGAATATGATTAAGGTGAATTTCTGTCCCCAGTTAACATTTAATTGTTACATCTTTTACATTTCTCTTATATATCAAAATATAACCCTATATGAGTCATTGTAATTCCACAGAAGCTTTAAGAAATTAGGCTATCACAGAATTACAGAAAACAATCCTAGGGCCAGGGATATAGCTCAGCAGCACAGTACCTGTCTGGCAAGCGTGAGGTACTGAGTTTGATTCCTGGTACAAAAAAAATCCTAAAATTCATTTGGAGCCCGAAGAGACTGAGAATAGCAGAAGCAATTCTGGGCAACAAAGGCAAGGCACAGGGCATCACAATCCCTGACTTGAAACTATACTACAAAGCTACCGTGATAAAAACAGCACGGTACTGGCAAAAAACAAAAACAGACCCAAGATCAATGAACAGATTAGAAGATGCAGAAACAACTTCAATCATACCTTATCTACCTTATCTTTGGCAAAAGGCCAAATACCTTCACTGGAAGAAAACCTCCTAGAGCTCGGTGTGGTGGTGCACACCTGTAATCCCAGCACTCAGGAGGCTAAGGCAGGAGAACAGCTGTGAGTATGAGGCCTGCCTGGGCCACACAGTGAGTTCAAGTCCAGCCTGAACTACAAAGCAAGATCCTGTCTTTAAAAAACCAGAAAGATAGCCTCTTTAGTAAGTAGTACTGAAAAGCTGGCTTTCCACATGCCAAAGATTAAAACTAGACCCATATCTCTCTCCATGTACCAAACTAAAATTGAAATGGCTCCAAGATCTAAATATTAAAACAGAAACATTGAATCTGCTGGAAGATAGAATAGGTAGAACTCTTGAACACATTTGTGTAGGCAAAGACTTTATGAACAAAATCCTGATCACACAGGAAATACTAAAAAGAATGAACAACAAGAATTTCATGTTCTTAAAAAGCTTTTGCACAAAAAAAGAAACCATCAACACAATGAAGAAAATCCACAGACTGGGGAAAAGATTTGCCAGCTATTCCTCAAAGGACTAACATCTAGAATACATAAAGAACTAAAAAAAATCAAATGCCTCAAATTTAAAGACCCAATCCAAAAATGGGCATCTGAAATGAATAGACATTTCTTAGATGAAAGAGTAGAAATGGCAAATAAATATGTGAAAAATGTTCAACATTTTTGCTCATTTCAGAGATGCAAATTAAAACATTAAATTTTCATCTCACTCCTGAAAGAATGGCTATTATCAAGAAATCAACCAATCACAAATGGTGGTGGGGCTGTGGGAAAAAAGGAACCCTTGCTGGATGTAGTGCTGCTAGCCTGTAATTCAAGCACTAAGGAGGCTGAGGCAGGTGGATCACTGTAAGTTTGAGGCCATACTCTCACTATGTATGTTCTACATAGTGAGATCCTGCGCCTCAAAAAAAAAGGAACTTTACCCCCTTTTCCATTGGGAGTATAGACTGATGCAACCACTATGGAAATCAGTGTGGAGATTCCTCAAAAAACTAGAAGTAGAGATTCCATTTGATCCAACTATTCCCTTTCTTGGTATCTTCCTGAGAGAATCAAAAGCATCATACCACTATGATAGATGCACGCCCATGTTTCTAATAGCACAGTTTATAATAGTTAAATTTTGGCAACAGCCCAAATGCCCATCAACAGATGAATGGATATAGAAGATGTGAGGGGTTTTTTTCGTCTTTTTGAGACAGGGTCTTACTCTGCAGTTCAGCCTGGCTTTGAGCTCACTTTGTAGCCCAGGCTGGTCTTGAACTTGAAACGATCCTTCCCAAATGCTGGGATTACAGGCGTGAGCCACTGCACCTGGCTGATGTGGGTTTTTTTCCTACAATGGAGTACTACTGTGCCATAAAGAAAGATAAACTTGAGACTATACTCAAGTGAAATAAACTGGACACACATGTTTAGATACTGCATTGTGTCTCTGGTGTGAGAAACTGAAAGTGTAAATAAGGACCAAAATCTTTAACAGCTACTGTGAATAGGAAGAAAATATGCAAATGGGAAGGGGAACTAGGGAAGGAGGAGGGGGAAAGAAAGAAAAAGAAAAAAAAGGAATAGAAGGAAAAAATGGAAACAAAGCTTTTGTAAATGAAGAAGATGAAGGGCTGAAGGAAGGGGCGGAGGATGGGGGGGCGGGGAGAAGAATCAAGATATATCATGTACAGGTACAAATTCCCTATGATGAATGTTATTATTATGTATATCTAATGTACCAGTAAAATTAATTTTAAAGACATTGACACTCAAAAAAAATTAGGCTAGAACTCTAAAAAGTAAAATTACAATCAGCTCATTTTCTTTTACACCTAGACCTGAACGTAAGTTATAACTAAAATACCTACTGTAACTTAAGATCTACTATTAAGAAAAAAAAGTTAAGATTTTTGCTTACCCATGTCAACTGCATTTCTAGTGGATGATGAAGAATTTGATCCTACAATGAACAGTTTTGCTAAGTAACAAAGAAAATGAAAGTGATTACATTTGGATACATATATAGCACTAACATAAATAATCCTGAGTGAATTATTTTTTCTTTCCTAGTAACATAATTTTATAGTTTTCACCTTAAGACACAAAAGAAAGCTGGTAAGGTGACACATAACTATAACCCCAGCACTGGGAAGCTGGGGCAGAAGGACTACAAGTTTAAGGCCAGCCTGGGTTATGCAGCAAGACCCTATCTTGTTTTTTTATCTTTTTGAAATAGGGTTTTGTTACACAGTTCAGGCTGGCCTTAAACTTACTTTGTAGCGAAGGCTGGCCTCCAACTCACAGTGATCCTCCTGCCTCAGCCTCCCAAATTTTGGCATTATAGGCATGCACCACCTTGTCCAGCCCCAATCTTGTTCAGAAAAAACAAAAACAATGCAAAAATTAAGACACAAGCATATTTCCACTATAATTTTTTAATTATACTAAACAGCTATTTTTCAAAACTAAAAGCAAATATTAATTTCCCATTTATAGAAAGCAGCTTAGGTATAGGAGTTTAGATCACTTGAAATGTACATTTTTACAAATTAAACATTGATAAGGCACATTATATGCTTTCTCCAATAAACTACAATCTACACAAAGTATAAACTATGTTGTAATCAGAAGAAAATTTTTTAAAAATCCACAATTCTACCTTCCCAATATAATCATTTTGTTTTTCAGACATAACCTTCCAGTTTTTGGTCATCTGAAGCAAGTTACATTTCTTCTATTTCCATTTGATTTACATTTACGTAATAAGTATTCTGTATCTATTTTATGTAGTACTTTATTTTAAATTTTTTATTGTAACAGTAGTGTACTTATTCTAGAAATGAGGAAAGTCTATAAAAGTAGAGAGACCAAAGAGAATAGCCAATGGTCTCATTACCCATAACAATTACTATTTAGTTCTTTTATGTAGTCTGTTTCTATTGTATGATTTTACATACTTTTAAATACTTGAACATTATTCTGTAATTTTGATAGTTTACAGTTTACTAAATTGAGTTCCTATTTGTTTTAACATTTAGGTTAGCAAATATTCCTGTTACAGATCCAGTTTTCTATTACCACATATAAATACTAAAACATCTTGGTCAACTTTTGATCAATTTTACATGGAATTATTTTCCAAGGATGAATTCTCAGAAATGTGATTATGGGTCAAAAGACCTGAACTTTCTTGTCAACCTTTTTTTTCTTGTAAATCTTGTATTTTACCTACTTTACAAAGCTGTCTAACAGTTTATCACACCCCCAACAGTTAAGAGCTGATCTCCTAACAATATTGGATGTTCAATCAGTACAGTCTATGCAAATCTTTCAAAATCTAAAAACTTCTAAACTCTGAAACCTTTCAGATCCCAAGCATTTTGGGGTGGGGGAAACTCAATATGCGCTTTAACAAATCCTTTTATAAAAACTTAATAGGTAAAATATGCACGTTCCCAGGACATTATGTGTCATTTCTTTGGTTGCCAGGGAAGTTGAATAATTTTCATTGTACAAAACTTTTATGCGGGGCTTTGGTTTGATTTAAACTGAACTTTATATGTACATATTTACTTTATATACATTCACTGTTCAAAACCTAAATTTACTCAATAGACAGGTAGGGTAGCAGAAAATCAAGAAAAGAAAAAAATGAAGAATAATAAAAATACAGATAATGAAATATTATTATATAAGATGACTGGCACTCAACATATGCAACAAAAATTGTATGATACTCCTTATATTTGTCCCTTACTTTCCCATGCTAGATAATCTTCCTAAAAAACTGCTTTCTTCACATTATCCCTCTGTTGAAAAGCCATCACAGGTCCCCTCCCAGGTGAGGAGGTGAGTCAGTCAGTATTTACCACTGTGGCCCAACCTGAGTTCCCATATTTCCACTCTGTGAAAACCCTTCACTAGTATTCCTCAGTCCATGAATTTGTGCCATCTGAAGTAACCTCCTGTCTCTTTAAAGATGAGGCATTTTTTAGACAAGTAGAAAGGGGAAAGTTAGATTTCCTCTCAAACAAGTAGAACTTAGATACGTATCAAGAATCTCATGCCTACAGGAATGAGGACACAGCTGAATCTATCTCATGAAGAATTACAATCAACTACAGAAAGAATGCTGCTTTTACTTCTTTTTCTACACAATCAGCAATGTGAAATTAACTGAAAGAAATGGGTTAAGGAGTCAGGAAAATCAGAATGGACTCTTGGTTTAATCACTTACCTGCTGTATAACAGTTGTCTTTTTAAATAGGGTTTTGTTTTATGTTGTCTAGGCTAGCTCCGAACTCTTGCATCAGCCTTCCAAGTAGCTTGTACTACACGTACATGCCACCATGCCCAGCTGTATGACAACTTTTAAGTTATTTAATGTCACTAGTACATAAGGCATAAAAGACCTACCTTGCAAGCTTGTTTTGACAGTAGTACGAGGAAATATAACCATAAAGTGACCAGTACAGAGCCTGACATAACGCAAAACTCACGTGGTAGTTATTCTTTTGGAATCAAAAGATAATGCCCCATTTCATTTTACATGTCCACCTCAATTATAATAATGACAATAAAAAATGACCGTAACAATAATAACATAGTAATAATTAGCAGCACTTACTTTGTGGCAAGCACTGTGCTACATATCTTTATTTCAGCCAACTTACAAAGCCCATGAATTGCATCCCTCCTTTAGAGATGATGAAACAGAGGCTCAGAAAGGTTAAGTATTTTGTTAGCCCAAGATCATACTAGCTTATAATTTGCACATGCACATCCAGAAATTTTAATCTATATAAACTCAAACTTGTGTGTGTGTGTTACTGAAGATGGAACCCAAGGCCTTTACTCTGAGCTACATCCCAGCCCTTTTTGTGTCCAGACAGAATCTCACTAAGTTGCCAAGGTAAGACTTGAATTTGCAGTCTTTATGCCCTAGCCGCCCAAGTGCTGGAATTAGTGGCATGTACCACTATTGTCAGTGGTATAAGAAAATGAACTATAAAACTTTGATTTTACCAGAAACTTTCATTTCTTCTCTTTCATCAGGGTTTATCTTCTCTACTGCATGAGATACAGTACACTCCAAGACATCTGGAAACTCCTATAATAAACATGATATTTACAATAAATATTAATGGTTTTAATTAATTAGACAATGTTCTATTGTCCATAATGCTCTTTAGAACAGAGAACCCACAGACAACAGAATTCTTTACTTGAGAACTAATGGACCTTTTTTTTTTTTTTTTTCAAGGAGAAAGGCAATTTATTACTTCAAGAGAATATACCAACAGAGGCTGAGGAAACAAGCAGGCCAGCCATGTCCCCTGTCCTAAGCAGAGGGGATCTAATGGACTTCACAAGGGCTGTAAAGGCCTGATACAGAGATAAAATGCTGTATGTGTGTGTGTGTGTCTGTGTGTGTGTCTGTCTGTCTATTTTCTGGGAAGAAGATTTGATCAGGTATTCAAAAGGATGTAGGAATAAAAGAAAACATTAGAGAATAACCAGAGGAGGGGCATGTGGCAAGTTAGAACTGCTAAAATAGTGAAGTACTTTTACTAAATTTTCTACATTAATCACAAATTTTATAAGAAACTTTGTCATGCCTTTGAATTTTCATGTCATTGAACTTTAATCTGCAAAGGGATTTAGGTGTCTTTTTTGAAAAAAGATTTTATTTTTTAGAGCAATTTTAGGTTCACAGCAATATTGAACAGAGAACGTTGTATAGAGGTTGAATATTGAATAAAGAATATTGAATACTGTATAGAGATTTCTCATTTATCTCCTGCCTGTACACATGCATAGCCTCCCCAATATCAATATCCCCATCAGAGATGTACATTTGCTGCAAGTGATGAGTCTACATTGATAGATTACAATCACAAGTTTACCTGAGGGTTCACTCTTGGTATGAGCCTGGACAAATGTACAACGACATGTATCCATCACTGCAGTATCATACATTGTACTACCATTGTCATGACAATCTTCTATGCTCCACCCATCCACCCCTTCCTCCCCAGAACCCTGAAAAACCACTGCTCTTTTCACTGCGTCCATAGTGTTTCTGTAATGTTAAACAGAATCAAACAGTACACAGGTTGATTTTTTTTCACCTTTTAATATACATTTAAGATTCTTCCATGTCTTTTCATGGCTAAATGGAGCATTTCTTTTTAGCACTGAGTAACAGTCCATTGTCTGAATGTACCAAAGTTTGTTTATCCATTCATCCACTAAAGGACATCTTGGTTGCTTCCAAATTTTGGCAATTATGAATAAAGTTATTGTAAACATCCATGTTCAGGTTTTTCACAAACATAAATTTTCAACTCCAAGGAGAAAGACTGATGGATCATATGATGATAGTATGTTTAGTTTACAAACATTTTAAGGTAAAACATTTTTTTTCCTGGAAGCACTTTAAAAAATCAAGGGCTATCCCAATACACTGTTGATGGAGACCACTGCAAAGCAGACCTGAGCAGGACTTAAATTAATCAACTGGCTTTTCATGTTCACTTGTGAATCTGTCCAAGGCCTAGGCTCCTTATTTGGAAATGGTGGACTCATAGTAAGTGAACCTCTGTGAGTCACTAATCCCTACTAAAACCTGTAGTGGTAGATGAAGCCAGAAAGTCTCAAAGGATAAGACAAGATCACAGCCAAGGACACCTGGATCAGATCTCAACTGGATAAAGACTACTGCCTCAGGCATCTCATTCTTCAGTAGATTAACTTAATACCTTACTTACAGAAGTCCTTGAGTGTTTCTGCCCTTCTTGAGTACTCCCCTCCCTTTTTCTGATAACCAAATAAATATAGGCAACCCAGAGAAGGTCTTGGTCTTAGCCCTGAGAGAATTAAGAATTATGTGAGAGGGCTTTGATCCTCCTGGAGCCCTGAAATCATTCCATTTGTCTCTTTATTTAGCCTCTGCCATACACTCATTCAGGAGGTTGCGGACCTGATCAACCTGCAATTACTAAGGGATATTATTAACCCCATACACTGTAATGAATAATTATGAGGATATGATAAAATGTTAGTATATATCAGTCAGAAACGTACTAACTTACATAACAAAATTTAACAAAGCAAATAGTGAGGCTTCTTCATGATTGGTGAACATATTATAATACCTACTTTATATGTTAACATTTGCAATAATAGGCATATAATGACATTTAATCAAATACAGTTCTTTATTATTCCATCAGAAACTGAAACTTTATAAATTATTTCTAGTAAGTGTATTACTGGGGTGATAGTCTACCAACACAATCTACCAACCATAATCATTCCTCTACTAGACCAAATGTCAACTAGAATAAAACACATGGTGAGGAAACTGTACTGGGAATTATACATGACAATCCTAGCATCTAGTCTCGTTGAAGAGTTGACTACAAAGTCCACATTTTCTGCTTTATGCTTAATCTTACTGGGTAAGATTTTCATTACAGCAAATGAGCCAGGAGAGGTTTTATGGTTAACTACCTCTGGTGGATTAACTAATGCTCAACTTGTAACACCCCACTTAACTGAATCAGTGTGATTCTCGGTGTGGAAAGGCCCACTTGAGGATGGCTGCAAGCAGCATAAAAGGAGAACTGGAGGGGAAGATGGTATGCTGTTGATTCTCCTGGAGAAGCTTGTCACACTGGTTTTCCTGATATGAACTCAGCCATTATCATCATCAGAGGAACTCGGCTCCTTGCTGTCACTGAGGATGCCTATGGTTCTATTTGGGGGAGCTCTGGTCCTTACTTTGAGCATCACTTCCCGGCTCCAGTGCACATCTGCTGGCACAGAGCCTTCATCCTGCTAACGCAGAATTTCTAGCTCCACCAGTGACCTCTGGGCCTTCCCAGTGCAGATTCTTGATACAGACTTGCATGAGACATTATCATGGGCCCTAGGACTCCAGCTGGGCTCGTGGAGGATATTCCCATGGGCTCTAGGTCTTCAGCTGGATTTGTGCAGGACAGTTCCATGGGATCCAGGCCCTCAGCTGTATTCTCTGGGTCTCTAGTGTGTGGAGAGATCTCCCACACTCACCCAATTATCTGGAAATGGTGGACTCATAGTAAGTGAACCTCTGTGAGTCACTAATCCCTATTAAAACCTGTAGTGGTGAATATTATATAATTTTTTTTGGGGGGGGTGAATACTATATAATAATATTCGTTGGGTGAATATTATATAATAATACTATAAATTATGTTTCCTGTGTTAAATGTATTCCCTTGCAAACCTTGACTACAACACTGCCTATCTGAGTTCTCTCCCCAACCTAAGGAAATTAACTTTCTGCTTGTACTTCATTTCCCTAGCATGATTTCCACATTAACATTCCACCTACCTTGACCAAATCTGGGCTGATTTGGGAACTCCATTCATTCAAAGTCTTTTGGATACAATCTCGAAGCTGTAAAAGGAAGGTATTTTGAAACTGTTAATCAAACTCTATGCATCCCCTGTACTTCCATAATAAATATGCCTCTATTTGATAAGCTAAGCAGGCAAAAAAAAAAAAAAAAAAAAAAATCAATAGAAAATGCCACACAAACTTCAAATTTCATTCTACAGGGCTTTTGTTTCCTTCAACACAAATTCAGACCTGTTTTTATTCTACTCTTAATTCTCAAATATTCTTTACCTAAAGCCGTAGTCTAATTATTTTTATAGTTTTTATACCAACGAAACTTTATGTAAACCTCTGAAACAAAAAGCATTCATAAAGAACAAAAAATTATTTTAAGAATATAGTTATAAACAGAGGAAACTGGATTTAAAACAAGAGCCTAAGGTTCCTATTAGCACCTATATGCTTACATTCCTTAAAAATTAATAAATGACTGAGAATAAGTATAGCCAGAGTTACTCCTGTATTAGATTCACCTGTAGTGTTAATATTAAAAATTCAGACTCCTGAGCTCAATCCTAGACTTGCTCAACACTCTTCAAGAATACAGAACTTTCACTTTGACAGGCACTCCAAGTAACTGCTAAGTATTCGAAAATCTGAGAATCAGCAGATAGACAGGTCTGGTAGAGGTCAACCTACATGAGAATCGATAAACCATTTCTTAACACTTAGGTACACCTTTAACCTGTCTTCAGTGTTTTCCTGGGCAAACAAATATTTCATACTAACATTATGGAGTATAAATTCATTAATGTGTTTATCTCTTATGTCTGTATGTTTCAACTTGCTTGACATTGGTCCAAAGTAAGACATATATTCACTTAGTGAGTGAAGACCCATGTTCACCTAAGAGAACAAAGTCCACAAAATAGCACCATCCACTCTAGTGGCTTCTATCCTATTAGAAAAAAAAAATGGTATTGCATGACACACTAAAATGATTTGTGACTACTAAGTGGCTAACACTAGCAGTTTGAAATCACTGCCTTAAAGATAACGAAGGTCACAGTGCAGGCAATCAATGAAAACAGAAATGAGTAACTAGAAGCGAGCCCCTGAATTGCAAAAGCACGTTCTTAATAACAACAGAGACTAAACTTCTGAACTATCTAAATTACGACTGCTTATGATAAAAATCAGTATTTTTTATCATTTCCATCTTAGTACACATAATGAAAAAGGGCAATTATTTTATCAGTACACATAATGAAAGAGGGCAATTGTTTTATCAGAACTACCTATGTTAGTATTTATGATATACAATAATTTGTGTGCTATCCACAATAACTCACTTCAAGTTACCAGGTCTATACCTTTGTGCAAAATGTATTTCTAACCAAATTGATGTCAGTAGATAAAAATTAGTTTGTAAATCAGTAAAATGTTGAGGCAGCAGGACTAATTAGATGGTAACAATTCTATCATGATTTGTTTTAAGTCATGATAAAATTGTGAGAAATTTTCCTCTAGAAGAATGAATCACCTTTATGTGTCTTAGAATTTCTTGACAAATTCATCAATTTAGGAGAATAAGTGTATTTTCAGAGTATTCACTCCTTTCTTGAAACCACTTCCTTGTAGTGACTTGTTAGCTCAGGTTAGCTTTCTTAATTAATCTTAACTAGCTTTAATTAATCTCATAGTGGCCCATTAGCTTTCTTAATCCTGGATTCTGCAAAATTCAAGACAGAGCCGGGCATGGTGGTGCACGCCTGTAATCCCAGCACTAGGAAGGCTGAGGCAGGAGATCACCGTAAATCTGAGGCCAGCCTTGGCTACATGGTGAATTTAAGGCCATCTTGAACTACATAGCAAAACCCTGTCGCAAAAAAAAAAAAAAAAAATTCAAGACAAATGACAGAAGAGTCCAAAGTTATTAATTACATGAGGATTCACTGAGTATATCACAAACCTAATGATTTTTAATCTTACAAGTTATATGTTCTCTACATTGGGTGATCGTTAACTTTTTATTTTTGCTTTGTTTCCTACTCTCCTTATTCTTATCATACACATACAATATTACTAAAGAAAATATCACCACAGTCTAACCTATCATTAGATCTGAAGTTGTACAAAAATTTTTTTAAAATACCTTCATACAACTGGTCAAATACTCCTTTTTAAAGAAATAGACCAAAGTCTCATTTAAAAACAATATTTGAACCTAAATAAAAACAAACTTTGATTGTAGAGCCAGGCATGATGGCCCAAACCCGTACTCCTAGCACTATTAGACTGAGGCAAGATCACCAGTTTGAGGCTTGTCTGGGCTACACAGGAAGTTCAAGGCTGACATGGCCTATGTAGTGAGATCTTGTCTCAAAGAAAAAAAAAGTTGATTTCACAAAATTCTAGTGAACCACAAAGATCTGGGGAGAGTCATAGATATAAGAACATATTAGAACTAGAAGAGCCTTTTTAAGAAATTTAATTGAACACGCTATGTAATGTGTGAATTTTTTCAATGGTGTTTTTTTTTCAGTTTCTTTAATCTCCTCAATGAAGTTCAGCTGTTTCAAGTACAGTAGAACATCCCAATTTGGAGCTCTGGTTGTTACGAAGTTTCTTATTTCACAGAAACAAAACATGCTTATCCTATTCTAACTAAAATGTCACAGTTTTCCTGCAGTTCTTCTTTCAAGTTTTCCTTTAATGTTCTAGTTTCTTTAGTTTTGCCCTACTGTGATGATGCACTGGAAATGAAATACTATAAACCAGAATTAGTCCTTGGAACAATGCTTTTCAAACTTGCCTGCAGTAGAGTACTAAGAACGCATGTTTGTAAGGAGATGGGGTATAGCTGCTCAGTGATAAAGCATTTGCCTAGCATGTGATCCCTGTCAAATGAAAACAGAATTCATTTTGTAAACTGAAATAAGAGAAAAAAATCACAACATATAGTATATGAGTTAACATCTTTTTGGAAGACTCATGTTTCAGACATATTGATAAACATATATAAATTACAAAATTATGAATTGAGCGGGTAAAATGCATATCTTATAGTTTATGGCCAACAACTTTGAAAGCCAGTACTTTAGAGTGTGTTGCAGTGAGATAACAGAGAAATTTACCCAATTTACATCCAAAATGCTGTACTGAATTATCACACCATCAGTACTGAAAGAAATTAAGGTTCTACTGCCAAATAGGGAAATACTTACAGGGAGAAACAAAGTAGGTGATTTAAACAAAACATATAAAAGGAGCTGAAACCTGAGCACAGAATAGGTTAGGGATTTTGGCTCCCATTAAACTTAAAATCAAGAGTTTTCATCTTCTGAAAGATGCTGGATGCCCAAGTATACTTAAGAGAGAGATGCCAAATGCTGCTGCAGTCTGTCTGCCAGCGTCTAAGGGCAAAACCCTCTCAGAACACAGCTGATAATATCATACTGTGGCATGCTCTCGGGCATTTTGCCCCTTTAATCGAGACTTATCTTTCTCAAGGAACTAGGCGATTGGGAGATAAATATCCCTACGTTCAGTGGTATTACATATTCATGCCTTTCCTTCTCAGGACAGTCTGATAAAGAAGTTATTACTACTCAACTTTAAAGCTATGTAAACACTCTAGAGGGTCAACTTTCCAGTGTCACAGAGCTCCTACATATAAAGGTTTATTATTTCAATCTTTAGTTGGCACAGAACTTCTGGTTGGTACATACTCCTTGGGAGTTTTTTTCAGTACTAAATTGCTCCACGGACCACCAATATTTTTTGACCATGGCCAGTGTAATTCCAGGTTAATCTCTGCCACTTCCAGCCACTGATCCGTCTTCAGGCAAATAAAATGAGGCATATTACTTTCCAGGTAAGAAAAATACATGTCTATCCCAAAGCCACATTTTAAGTCTTCAGTCTTTTGCTTCGCAGCAATATAGAAACCAATGTCAGCACTCAAAAATTAAGTGTAAATTTTATTTCATTTGCCAGAGACTACCCGCTCCTTGGCCAGGACGAGGTGACCGGTGAGCGGAAGTAGGGCGAGGACAGCGCGATGGGAGACAGCGAGCCAGCACCTCCGAGACCCCGGCGCCGAGCCGGGCTGGGCGTCACCGCGCGGCTGCACCTGCCGAGAGGGAGCCGCGCGTCCGATCCGCGTAGCGCCGACCCCGCCGCGGCCTGTCCCGCAGCCCCGCTCACCTCCTCGCTGTGCGTGGACGGGCACTTCTTCCGCAGGCGGCCCCAGTTGAGCAGGTTCCCGGTCTGCAGGTGCAGGGTGCTGGCCCGCGCCAGGAGCGCCCCGGCCGCGCGGCTGTTGGTGCCCATGGCAGCGGCCGCCGAGGGGCGACGGACCGCGGGCGGGCGGGCTGGCAGGCGACTGCCCCGCAGGACGATGTGTCCGAGGCCAGAGAGGGCAGCGCGAGGCGCCGGCCCCACGCGGCTGCAGCCCGGTCTGCGCTCGGGCCGAGGAGGCCGGGGCGGCGCGGCGGAGGCGCGGCGGCCGCGGAGAGAAGCGCCGGCTGCGGCTCCGCGGGAGAGGCGGCTCCAACCCGAGGGAGCTGTTTCCTGGAAGACAATGACTAAGCAGAAATCGCGGCGGGGAAAGTGCCCTGTAATCGTTACTCGTCCGGGAAGGGAGGGGCGGGGCGCGAACGGAGAGGAACGCCAGCCCGCGCTGGCTGGCCCTCGGCCTGCGGCGGGCGGGCGCGGGCGGCGGGCGGC